TAACAGACAACTTTGAAAAAATCTATTTCAAGTTCACGAATATCGAAATGATGTTCAACTCTTAATACCATACTTGACAGGCTCTGACTCAGTAACAAACATAACAGCATTAAACTCATCTACATCTAGCCATTTTAACGAGTATTCGACAATTGATCAAATGTTGAAAGCGATGTTCCTTGAACAATGGAACACAAATGCTTCGTACAAGTTGTATTATGATCAACGCGCATCGAGTGAATGGAGTTATACTTTAAATATATGTAGCCAGAGCACATGCATCTCTAAAAACATTTCTTACTCAGTTGAAGAAAACAGAAGAAGCAAATGTTTTTCGTTCGATGTTTTTACTTTCGTTTATACGCGTATCTCATGTGTATTTTGTCCTATGTAAATTTCTAACAAAGCTTGCTTCATATAAATGGATATATAGAGTGAGCGTTCCTAATTTGAACGGAAAAAACGCATGATGATCCTTTATTTTATAGCGATTGAGTGAGAGTTTAATAGACTTTTATACTTTTGAGTAGAGCAAAATCTCCTGAACCGAATGGTCAAAGAACTTTTAAAATCGGACTTGGTAATGTGAGCAGTGTTTAGATCGTTCACATTAGGAAACCAGTTCCTAATCTGAACGAAAAGAGAAAAAATGTTTCTAATTGTCGATGCTGTGTAGGGATGTTCGGTTCTGGAACCGAAATGGTAGTTCCGGTTCTCGACTTAGAACCGAAACGATGAAAACCGCGGTTCTCAGGTTTGAACCGAAAAATAATTTTTCAGGCAGTAACAATTGAATAAGATAGAATTTGTCTTATTGTAAACGAAAGGATTCTTTTAAATGATGACTGACAAATATATATTTTCGTAGCTTTGTCAGTAGTGTATTTTTATTTTGTTAAAAGAAAGGCAAGTCAAAAAGTCTCGGTTCCAAAAAAAAGGAACCGTTGAAGAAACCGCGGTTCCGGTTCCCGATGAAGAACCGAAAGTAAGATAACCGCGGTTCCGATTCCTCACACGGAACGGAACCAACCGCGGTTCCGGTTCTTCATGAGAACCGAGAATCGAACATCCCTAATGCTGTGTGATTTTTCTTTTATGCTTCCTTAACAGATTTACTTGCCAGTCAGCAGTCATTGGTTGATTTTTGCAATTCGTGCTATCACGGGTTTGGTGAGCTAATATTCTTATTTTAAGCTGACAATAACAAAAATTACAAGATGTTGAAGATCTTGACTTCTTTAAGTTTCTTGAATTCTTATATTTTCTTACCAAGATCTTGAATCAAGATTTTACTGAAAAAAGTCAAGAAGTCAAGATGTTGGTTACAAGAAGTTCCACTAGAGGTAATTACTGAAAATCTCAGCTGGTCGAGGGATACCTCAAATCTAGTAATCGCTACCATTTACGATAGCTAAGCACGTCATATGTTGTGTTAGCCAGTTCACTGACTAAAAGATTACCTAGGATGTCCATAAGTCAAAAAAATATTCGTTTTTCAAACCAAGATGAATATAAATTATCAGTTTGTAAATTTTCAGTGTTCGGATTAATTTAAGCAAAGAAAATGTGCGATCAGCGCTAAAACCCTAGACAAAATTTTTTCGATAAAGCTGATGTTTCTTATTTAAGACTGTTTAAGATTTCTCATCGACAGTCGTAAGTGTCTTATAAGATTTTCATAAGAGATTTGTAAGAAGTTCATAAGAATTACCAGCTGGTTGTAGACTTAGTGTGTTCATTAAAGCAGTATTACTCATCTTTTTCTGTTTTTACCTTGCTTTACACACTCAAATCATGTAGTTCTATTCTTTCTGCCCTATATTTTCGTTTTCAGACATACACTTTCTGTCTCGCGAGAATGAATGCTGCCTTAGTGAAACTTCTTGTACCCATGATCTTGAGTTAAGAAATGTCACAGGAAAAAACACCAAGATTGAATTTTTGAATCTTTCTCTCAAGATCTTGGGAATAGAAATTTCAAGATGTTGAGTGAAAAATTTTCTTTACATTTTGTTTGTATTTATGACAGTCATAGCCATGGGATATACGACCATATAGAGTCATAGATTCTCCCTTTAACAACTACGTTCAAGAAGGAAAAAAAATCGAAGTTATTCTAAATGTGAAATTATTCGCACTTATATTTACACAAGAGTGTAAAACAAAAGGATGATTCAAAAATTTTCAAGATCTTCATACAAGATGTCAAGAAATAACAAGATGTTCAAGATCTTCTTGAAATTTCTTGAATTTTTGCATTTTCTTACCAAGATCTTAATGAAAAAACTCAAGGAGTCAAGATCGTGGTCACAAGAAGTTCCACTACGATATGCAGTTATTTTCAAACATATCTGTTATTGCTATATTTCTAGAGATAACACTTCACTATCACTGTATAGGGCCATAGTAATATTATCAATTAGCACTACTAAACAACAGCATTACATAGTCTTACTTTACTCAGTAAAGTAAAAGAAATATTTATGTGCTACTTCTCTCGATGGTAGGTTACTATTAGTTTGCAAAGTGATAGGTAACCATTCCATCGCATACAAATATACTAACAGAAAATACGTGATATATATAGGAAATATATTTTGTCTGTTTAGAATGAGCAATTTTTATTCACAAAATGCGTTGCTTGAGTAATGGTCCATCAAAAGCAAAATGAGACCGTTGTATCAGTCAAGATCTTGTTCCTCCGAATTTTTAAAACTTGTAAAACTTGACGCGTCGACAATTCATTTTTAAACGCGTTAAGTTTGTGCCTTTAAACGAAAATGATACCAAACATAATATCAGTAGAATAACTAATTGAATAAAATTCATCAGTATATAACCTGAACCAACCGCCACATGTAAATATTCAAAAATTGATGTTAAAAAACTCAGCTGAATAAATATCAATGATAGCCATAATGCTATACACGTTAAAAATATATGAAAAGTAAAATATGGTTGATTTAGTTTTACGCTAAAAAAAGGACTTGTTAATATTTGTTTACACAGAAAAGGACTGGGAATTAATGACATTAGAGATACAAGTATAATAAATAATGTTGGATAATTACTGTACCATTCACAATTATGCTGTGAAAAAACATCTAAATAGATAGAGAAAACAATACACATTACCTTTTCTGAAGACTTTGAAAATCTATAAGTTATAACGTTTGAATCCACAAAAAAATGCTGGTTCATGTTTTTCTTAAATTAAATCAAATTTATTGCGCAAAAAGATGGTGGTTAGGTGATGAAACCGGGAAAAAAAGATTTTTTAATGTCTCCCAGAATTCTGATGATGCTTACTAAGTTAAATTTTTTAACCTTTCATAGGGTTTTATACATCATTCCAATGGGTATGATTAAGATTCTGATGAAAGATAGTAATCGTCATCCATTGTTTATAAAAGAATCGCTAGGTATTTTAACTCCTCAATCTAAAATTAAATAGTATTATTCGCTCAGTTCTCTAGAGATCAAATCTTATATAGGATTTCTATAGGAATATTATACAATAGCTGCAAGAATCTTATAGAAATCTTTACAAAATCTTATATGTTCCAGTCGATAGAAATGCACAGGTCACACTTCGGGCGTGCCCAAAGACAGTAATCTTGGGCCGCGGTTCTTCTAGTGTTCATCGATGATCTTCCAGGAGTTCTTGATCCATCAACGGTGGCCTCTCTCTTTGCTGATGATTTGTCTCTTGCCGTACCCCGTGGTTCGATGAAAAACTTTGGTCTGGCGACGAGAGAGGTTAATAAAGTTGATTGTTGGTGACGGGAAATGCTGGATGATCTGAATACTGAGAAGTGTAGTTGTTAACTTTTCATCCCCCTCCCAGTTTTCTTTCACCATCAGTACTCAAACTGGAAGAGGAACCAATAGTGCGTTAGTGAGATTATGCTTCTTGGGTTGCAAATGGTCCATAATTTAAAATGGTCATCTCACGTACACAAAACAGCAATGCGATGTAGAAAAATGTCATTTGTATTTGACCTGCGTAAGATTTGTAATGCAATACGGCTCAGCTGTTTCGAAAGAGCTATAAAATACATTTAGAAGCACTGAACTCGGTTCAACGTTTAGCATCACGAATTCTTAGTGGTGGGTTGTCGTCTTCTTCCGATCGTATGGCTGGAAAAACTAAACTTGAAACGCTGTCAAATCGTGGAAAAGTAACTAGGATGAAATATTTGTGGAAAATTAAACAGGGGTAAGACTGCACTAGTAAGGTTCGGCCTTCTCGAGCGTTCGCTTCAACGCCATTCTTCTCGTCATCATCTCTTGCAGTTTACTGTTTCTTCTTTCCAAACATCTGTTCTAGCTGAATCATTTTGATTCAGACACTTAAAGAATGGACTGCTTTACCAACTAATGTTGTTATGTCTCCTACACTTTCTCGTTTTTGACACAATTTTAAACAGTTTCTCCTTCATCGACGCGCTACCACTAGTAGAAATTAGTTGTTGTTTCACTATGTAATATGGGATTTCTGTATTTTTTGTTTGAATTGTCTTGTTTTTCTTCTTCTTTTCTTTCTTTCCGAAAAGGTTGATTCATTAAGAAACTTTTATTATAAGTAGCTCTTGTCATGACCGTTTGCCATTGGTTTCTTTTGCCTAAATAACCTACGACTATTAGTGCAATTAGAACCTAACCAATCATATAGTCCAGCTGTTTAAACACTGGGTGCTGAAAATGCTTCAAAATTATATTTAGTTCGGTTGTTCGAATCTCATGTACAAAGGAATCTTATTTTTTGTCATTCGTTATAGCTAAAAACTACCGCGTATATATCTTCGAACACGCTGATCATAAATCTGAAATTATTTTTTATTTTTACAAAAAATTTCCACACATTAAAAAGCATCATACGCTGAGACTGACCATCTAAAAAGATACACACTTTATTATTCTGAGTGAATATTTAGATCATTTTACGCACTTAGTAATACACTTTTCATTCACAGTATACATTTCGCTGAAGCCTTTATTTATAATAAAATTCTTCCAAATACCGATCGAAATATATACGTCATTGGGATTGATCGTCCCGGATCAACTTCATATCGGCAGAGAGGACAAGTATTCTGTCGTCTCAATGTATTCAACATACAGTTGTAATGAAATAAATATAAATCTGTTACACATGGCCATTTTGAGTAAAAATCATGTAGTTCATACTCACATAAACATACCATACATTTCATTTTTTCATCAATCATTGTTTGCGTGACAGGTAATTGATTTTCCAGTCGGTTTAAACGAAATTGTACAATAAATCGTGATGACGCTGAAACACTCAAAATATCTGTTTCATGTCTATAACGTTGTTCTTGTATGTATTCTTCTTCTTGAATAAGACGATCCATATGCTGTTGCATTTGCATCCATAGTTGTTGACGATTTTCTTCTTCAATTTTTAACTGTTCTTCATAACTACAAGAAAGAATATTGTTGCAACAATACACCGACTGCATTTTCTGAACTTACTGTTCTTGGTAATCTGACGAAATTTCCAATAATGTTCCGTGTAACCATTGACGATAACAATTACTAGCATCATCAGAGTGGTCATAACTATTTTGTCAAATGTCGTGTCAAAACTTGCCATAAGAATGTCATACACAATCATAAATTTACTACATTCATATCCTGTCATAACATGTGTGAAACACATACCCACAGACAGTGCAACATTCATCATTCAAACATTCATGTTTGAGATATGTCAAACATGAATGTATGAATGATGAATGTTTGACCATCTATGGGTATCCCTTTGAGGCATGTCGTGACGTGGTGGTAAGGTGGAGGGAGTGCAAGCTGAGAGTGAGTTAGGTAAACGTCATGACAGCACGTGACTGATGTCAAACACGAATGGATGATTTGTGACTGTTTGATTGTTTAGGCCAGGCTTCTCAGTGATTGTTCATAGACTGTCGAACATTCATAACATTCATGACTTAACGTTTGACAACAAAGTTATGACCGCCCTCAGCATCATCTGGAAATGGAATTAATTGTTGAAGATTTGTCTCTATAGAGTAGTCTGTTAAATTTTGAATTGTTCGAATTGGTATCAGTTGAAATACACAATCATATCTGTCGTTGAAATGCAACAATGATAAACGACTTTCATCTAAATCTAGTTTAAGTAAAACAAGAATTTTGTTTTCAATTATTATCAAACGTTTAAAACGTCTTGAACTATTTTGCATCATTTCATCTAATATTAACAGATGTTCAATTTGATCGCTATAATCGAGTTCTAATACGTCTAATTGATTCATCAAAGCCTGATTATTCTTATTGTAATCGATCAATAGAAACCATTCATCTAACATTGAAAAAAGAAGATAGTTGTATAAATACAACGTCGAAGAAAATAATAATTTTACTAACATCAAACCAAATATGACGAAGCTAAATAGATAACTAAAATAAGGAAAGTACGCTTCGGCACAGTTGATTCCTAGGTCATCACTATCAAAACGAAATGGTTGACTATAACCTCTGCTATATTCGTATGCTGAACGATAATTTTTCGATGCGGGTTTATATAAATATCCCAGAAGGATGCCACATTTAGGAAGAATCAATTTATTAAATAGTTTTGTTTGACGTAAGTATTCTTGGTTTATGAAATCAATAAAAACTGTTTTGTTTGACCAACGTAGATCCATGGACGAACATTCAATTCACGAACAATACAGCGTAATGTAGTCAGAGTATAAAGTGAAAAGTCAAATGAAAATCGCGTTTCTAAATTTGTTGAAAACTTTACAAACAATCTGTTTGGATGCATGATCTTTCGTATCGATGAATGTTGAATCAAGTTAAATGTACTTATTATGTTGCTCGTACCAATATCATATTTTCGTGCTAAATTATTAATGTATTCTTTAATCGAATATTTAGGATCGTGTATATCACCAACGCCTACTGTCTGTACCAAAATAGAATGGACTCCGTTGTTTTTTTAATAACTTTTGATAGAAGCCAGCTAGAGAGCTCCGACTTTCGCCATAAGAAAGTGGAGACTTGGGGGCATGTTTTCATA